GCGCAGGGGCCGAGCCCACCTTCTCGATGTCCTCCAGCGTGCGGTAGTACTTGGCCTCGGTCTCCTGGATCTCCAGCAGGCAGCACGTCCTCTTGTCGTCCTCCGTCATGCCCATTTTCTACGGGCGGACACGGGCGTGAGCAGGGACGCCCACCAGGCCTGCCACCCGCTCACCGCCCGCTTGGCCAACGTGGGGCCGGATGGGAGACAGAAGGGCCCAGGCCTTCCTCCCCTCCCCTCTTGCAGATGAGGGAACTGAGGCACGCGGAGGGGCTGTGGCGGGGACCTGAGAACAGGCGGCAGTGCCGAGGGAGCGCGGCTTCCAGGCCAGGGCGAGCCCCGCACAAGCCACCTCCGGCATAGACAGCACGTGTGAGGTGCTTAAAGCACCTACTGTGTGCACAGGGGAGGCTCTGACCAGCTCCCTGAGGACCCGTGTCTGCCAACTGGTTCCTCAGCTGGTGTCTCAGAGAAGGACACGGATTCCTCACAGGCTGGCCCTTCCCAGAGTCCACGGGCTGCAAGCAGGGCCCCTGGGGACACGCCACCGTGGCAGAGCTGCCCCCACCTCTGGGGGGACCGGGGCGGGGGTCGGGCTGACCGAGACTGTGGTCACAGGGCCGGGGAACGGGGGTGATGTGACTGCAGAGGCAGCCACGCTCTCGGGCCCCTCAGCTGAGCCGTATGTGCCCGTGAGCGAGGCCCTGGGAGAAGGAACTGGCACCCATGGCATGACGTTCGGACCCCATGTGCCCTGACCGTCCTCCTCCTCCAGGAAGGCCAGGCCCTGCTGGGCTCTGCCAGGGCCGCAGCTCCAAGGGCCGTGCGGGCACATGCCCCAGGGCCAGGGTGACAGCCCTGCTCAGCCAGGGGACTGCACTGTTACTCTCGGGGCTCCATGGGGATGCTGAGTGATCCCCCTAAAACCACATAAAAACAGGCCGACAGTGTCTCCCAGGACAGGGCCCGCGATGGGGAGACGCCGTGGGCAGCCTTACCTGCATGTACCTGATCTGAGAGCATGGAAACAGACAGAGACCCAGTTAGCACACGGGGGTCAGGGAGGCCCGTGCATTTAGCCCACAGCCTCAGGGGTGCCCGCTGCCGGGCGGGTGGGAGGGACAGGCCCGGGACCGAGCACGCGGCTGGTCTTCCCACGTCTGGGCTGAGCCACACCTGCCAACCTCTGGCTTTATCTTCCTTCGCAAAAGCACCGTCCCCATGACCTCCACTGGGACTGCGGGGGGAGCGCCAGCGTGGCAGGGGAGGCAGGGGATGAGATACACCGGCGGTGGGTCCCAGAGGGCGTGGCAGGAGGCCCACCCACCCGGGATGGACGCGGCGGCCTGTGAGCACCAGCCTGGGGCGTTAGGACACTGAGCAGAGCAGGGCAGGGGCGCCAGCTTATCCCCAGGATACGGGGGGCGAGGGGACATCGTCTCAGCCCCCAGGCCCTGCAGACAGCCCCAGGTCCCGCTGTGTGGGGTTCAGCACCAGGGACAGAGAGAGCTTGGGGAGCGCCCTCTCCAGGTCTCCGCAGGCCAAGCACCGTTGGGGGGGGTGGGGGTCTCGGGAGCCTGTGACCTGGGCTCC